GGGTTGCTTCTGCTCCACCCCCACAAGGACTTGTCAACTTTGCACCTGGGAACTGGACCTCATGAGTGTTTATAGCATCTTGCAGACACTAGGTTCACTTTAAAAAAAAAAAAAGGCAACAGGGGCCTACACAGTGGCATAATGGGTAAAGCCACTGCCTGGGGCACCAGCTTCCCATACAGGCACCAAATCAAGTCCCAGGTGCTCCGCTTCCATCCAGCTCTCCTCTTACGGCTTGGGAAAGCAGCGGATGATGGTCCAAGTGCTTGGGTTCTGTACCTGTGTGGGAGACCTGAAAGAAGTTCCCAACTTTGGACTGGCCCTGCTCCAGTTATTGCAAGCATTTGGGGAATTAACCAGTGGGTGAAAGATTTCTCTCTCTCTCTCTCTCTCTAACTGCAGCACACTAGAGCCAACACTGTTTCTCTGTCCCAGGGTCTTAGGAGCCATGTGGTTGCAGTGTGGGGCGTAACAGTGGCCAGCCTATGCAATTTGAGTTCTGTCTCGTGGCCACCCCAGTCCTGGGAGACAGCACAGGGTCTGGGTTGGCCTCTGGCAGCGCCCCTGTCACTCTGGCCTGCTTGCCGAGCAGCTGTGCTCAGCGACTTGGGGCAGGCAGAGCTGCCTGCAGCACGCTCCTCTTGCCAGCAGGGAACACCCCGGAGCCCAGCTCCAGCACTCCCAGCCAGCCTTCAGCTTCTACCAGCGCCAGCCTGCACTCCTTTATACTCAGGGCCCCATGGCTCACATCCCAGAATACACCCCACGGCCTGCCTGCCGACAGCTTATTCTGGCCTTGCAGGCAGGCAGGGCCTGCTGACCCGACGGTGTCCTCCGCTTTCTGGCCTCGGTCGCTGTGCCATGGGCACCCTGGCTGCTGCCTGAGGTAGGGTGTCGCTCTTTCTTTTCTGGCCAAAGGCAGTTGTAGTTGTCACTTCTGAGATGCTTGAAATTAAGAATAAATAAATAAATAAAAGCTAGGCTTTACCCCGATTTCACTTTCTGAAACTAGAAATTTTCAAGTGTGTTTTCAGACGTGGGCCAGTGGCATGGCCCATGGCCGTGTCCCCTTCTGTAAAGCAGCCGGTCAGCGCTGACGGTCAGTGAGGAAATGCAGGACTCAGGGGACATCCGTGGGAACCAGTCCCTCCCTGCCAGCGGGTTTAGGCCCAGCTCTCCAGCTGGCTCCCCTCTCTGCCCTTCGGCCTGTTGTCCTGTAACGTGGCCCCGGTCCTCCCAGGCCTGAGCCCTTCTGTCGAGCTCCAGACAGCCTGCAGGTTCCCCTGTGACTGGCGGATGCAGGCAGGCGTTCCCTGTCCCTGCGTGCTTTCTCAGTAGACTCCAGCAACCTGGGCTCAGGGGTGAGGCTTTTTTTTTTATATGCTTGGCTGAAGAAGGGAATCTTGGGAACAGATTTTGTTTGTGAAATGCAGTGCCATGCCCAAGTGCCCAAGCCCGAGGGGTGGGTCGAAGGCAGAAAGGCAGGCATTGCTGGCACAAGAACTGGCTTGCAGTGAGAAGCTGCCCAGGCCCGCAGGACACTCACGCTGCAGGGCCTCTCCTCCCTGAGCGCTCCTAGCCCAGGTCATGGCACTGTGCTCTGGAGAAACCTGCAGCTGGATGTGGCTCACTGGCACACGGGGCGCACGGCTGGTAGGCGCCATGTCCCGTTCACAGGGGCACTGAACAGACCATCCTTGCCTTCTGCAAGTTGGTCTGCAGGTGCTGGAAGTCAGGAACGGGTCCCTCGCTTGGCCATTTGGTGGAAAGTGCTTGGTTTGGGAACACATGCCATTTCTCTTGCACCTGGCCTTATGAGGCACTGTTTCCTGATCGGACGTGTGGCAGCTGGGACACAGTCCTCCTCTGCTCAGGACTCATCCTTTCTGTGAGAAGGCCCCAGCCACCACGGGGAGGCAGTGGGAACTGAGGGGTCCTGGCTGCCGAACAACACAAGCCCGTGTTGGCCCAGCTGCTGCTGGTAATCTGGCTGCCCCAGGGCTCATCGCTGTGACCTGGGGCCCCAGCAGCGAGGAATGCAAGTTGTAAAAGTCTGGAAAGAGTCAGGGTTGCCAGTCTGAGCAACTTGACCCGGTCAGGGAGGTTACGCTGATGTTGAACCTGATTCTCAACCAGCTCTACAGCATCTTGCACCACCGTGTTGGAATTGGCACCCGCTCGCAGCCTGCTCTGCCTCCCGGTGCTCCCACAGCTTGCAGACGGAACGCAGAAGTGTGCTCTCCTGGAAAGTGGCCCTGGGCCAGGGATGGAGCCCATCAACCCAGCGCCACGTTGGCCTCGGGCACAGCGCCCCCCATGGCCAGGAGACCTGGGCTGGCCTGCACTGCTGTGTCAGGCACTCGCAGAATCCCACGAGGGTACCAGACGGTGTGTAGCTCTCCTCTTTCCCAACTGACTGGCTGGCTGGCTTCAGTTCTAATTCAGGTGCATGAAAATGCCATGTGTGGCGGGGAGCTTTGCTGGTCCTCACACTGGGGCCCTTCCATGGGAAGCGGGCTGGATGGGGGACTTGCCCGGGCAGCCTGTACTCATATTGCTCCCTCCCTGGGTGTGCGCTCTCCCTGGAGCCCCCGTCTTCGCATGCAGCTAGCAAGATCGTGACTGGCTCGGTTTGTTAGGTTAGATGAAAGGGCTCGTGAAGACAGGAATCTGCAGTGAACTCGGTGTTCGCTGAGTATCCCTGCGTTTGGGGAGAATCAGCGTCTACCAACCAGGGGACAGCTTTGGCTGTGCAGTGGCTGTGAGCCCGCTGCGGGGGGCAGGTGCAGCTGTGTGCACATGCGTGCCACACCTAGACGGGGCCACTCCCACCTGCCCTGACGGATGACGAATTCCACACTCTGTCCCAGGCTGCTGGTGGCTCAGCAGGCTGTCTCTGGAACCTCTGTGTGCTTGGTGCTTGGGTCCCATGGCCTTGCAGGGAGTTCTGGCTCCTGGCCCCAGGAGCTGAACAGCACCCCCAACTCCCCTTCCGCTCTCCCTCCCCCAGCTCCTTCCGAGCAGCAGCTGGGCCCTGGGCTGTTGTGGGCATAACAGGGTGGTCCCACTCTGAGACCTGCCTGGCACAAGGGTCTAGAATTGCAGTAAGGAAGAAAAAAAATAAGTTTCCCTAAAAGACTTTGCCCAGCCGAGCTGAATTCTGAGCTCCCAGTCCTAGTTCATCACGGGAAATTTTTCAGCTGTGCTGACCCCAAGGCCTGCGCGTGCTATGATTCCTGCTGGTTGCTGTACTCACCCCCAGCTGTTAGGTCTCCCGCCTCAGGAGGACCCCAGGGTGGCGCAGCACAATGCCCTCTCAGAGCCTTTTCTGAGGCCCTCCCTGGAGCCAGAGAGAGGCCCCACAGGCCCCAGCAGCTCCGTGTCGCCTGGGCACGCCTGGCCCGAGCATCCTGACGTGGGCAGGGATCGTGCCAGAAGCAACTGGGTAAAGGGCATGCCACTTGCAGTCCCACTTGGCATTCCTGGTTTGTCTAGTGTGGGCACAGCACGGTGTAGGAAAGCGAATGGCAGTTCATGGAAGACTGTCACCTTTACAGGCCCAAGAGCAATGCTGATTTTTTTATGGCGATGAAGAATTTAGTATTTGGGAAGGCAGGTGGAAGAACTGAATCCTGAACTCATTGTGCAGACAGTTCAGCCACACCCGACAGCATTACACACAGGGCAGGATGGCATGGGGAGCTAAAGCTTAGGCCAGCACATGACCCCAAGTGTCTGAGGGTCCGTGAGCTGGATGCCCACCTGCTGCAATCCCCAGAGCTCCCGGCCACCCAGCACGCAGAGTGGTGGTCATCTTGACAAAGCAAGAAACCTGAGTTGAAGTGTGCAGAGTTGAGGAGACGGGGCGTTTAGAAGGTAGGCGAGGGCTTTGCGTGCCCTCCTGCTCCCCAGCTGTGAAGAGTTCAAAGCTTCAGTCCAGGGGTGGGCACTTGATGCTGGGGGGGACCCCATTTTGAAGTGAAGCACCTGGTTCAAGTCCCCATGGCTCCCTGCTGGCACAGAGCCCAGGAAAGCAGCAGGGATTCCTTCTGCCCACGTGGGGGACCTGGATTGAGCTCTGTGCTCCCGGCTTCGGCTTGAGGCAGCTCTGCCTGTGTGAGGGCATTCGTGGAGTGAACAAACAGTGTGTGTGTGTGTGTGTGTGTGTGTGTGTGTGTGTGTGTGTGTGTTCCCCTCTCTGTTTCTCTCCATCTGCCTTCCAGATAAAATGGACATAAATGAATGAGAACGGAGGCTCCAGGCACTGTTGCAGGGCGCCTGCACCCTCCCTCCTGGAGTGGAGTGCTGCGGTCCTGGGGTGGGGCAGGGAAACCTTCGGCCCCGTAGACTCTGACCCGCTTGTCAAGCCACCCGAGGCAGGGAGGGTGCTGCCCTAGCTCAGCTGCTCCTCAGGCACCAGAGCACGGGTGAGTGACCAGGGTGAGGGGGCTCGGGGCACACAAGGAAAGAGTGAGCATTTGTGGCAGAGGGATGCATTTCCGCCATTGCACACACACTCACTTGGCCGACCGAGTCCCCTGAGAATGCCCAGTGAGAGCGCCGTGTTGGGGGGAGAGGAGAGTGTGCATGCACATACATGTTGGCAGGCATGCGGCTTCAGGCAGCTGGCTCCTGTGGTGTCACAGCTGCGGCCCGGGGCTGCCCTGCCCAGAAGCCGTCCCCCCTCTGGTGTGGGCTTGCAGGCACGGAATTACTGCGGTTTCCTTTTTCCTTTGGCTTACTTTTTTTTTTTTTCTAAGTTTCAAAAATTGTTTGCGTAAGTTCCCCTAAGTTCAGGAGAATCAGGCGAGTCCTGAGCTGAGTGACAACCTCAGTGTGTCCTCTAGGGGGCCCTGTGGAGTGGCACCCAGCTGGCCAGGCCTCAGCGCCCTATGTGGTAGGACAGAGAGCCACGCTGCCCGTCTGCCCGTCCCAGGAGGCACCAGACCCCCAGGCCGTACCGCCTTGCCACCGCTTCATGTTGGTTTTGTTTCTTGCAGGAAGGGCCAGCTGAGGGCGAGGGCCATGGACTTCATCACCTCCACGGCCATCCTGCCGCTGCTGTTTGGCTGCGTCGGCATCTTCGGCCTCCTCCGCCTGCTGCAGTGGCTGCGAGCCAGGGCTTACCTGCGAGGTGCTGTGGTGGTGATTACGGGTGCCACCTCGGGGCTGGGGAGAGGTAGGTGCTGTGGTGGGGCACGGCCTGGCACGGCTGGCTGCGCAGGATGGGCTCAGGGAGGGTAGATGTGGCTCAGGGAAGCAGGTGGCTTGTGCCTGTCCATGTGTGGTCTGTGGGCGGAGGTGTGCTAGGATGCGGCCCTGACTCGGCCTCGGTGCGGGGGCAGAAGCAAGCTGTGACGGTGGCCAGTGGAGGCCGCGTGCCTGTCCAAGGGCAGTCTCAGCTCCTACTGCTTCTGCTTTTGTTTTTGTTTTTCGAAAGGATTTATTTATTTATTTGAGGGAGAGGGAAAGGCAAGAGAGATCTTCCACATAAACTTCCCAAATGGCAGTTACCAGTCAGTGCTGGACCAGGCTGGGGCCCGGAACTAGAACTCTGTCTGGGTCTCCCAGGTGGGGAGGCTGGGGCCCGAGTGCTTGGGGTCCTCAGCCCTCTGCCTTCCCAGGGGCGTTAGCAGGAAGCTGGATCAGAAGTGGAGCAGCGAGGACTCGAGCCAGCACTCTGCCACGGGGTCCTGGCACCACAAGGAGTGATTTGACACGCACCAACTCCTCTGGATACCTACCGCACTGGGGGTTGTTTGCTCAGATCATGAACAGTGGCTTTGGAAACTGTGTTACCTCCATGGATGCCAAGGGGAGCCTGTCCTTGCCTGGAAGCAGCCAGTGCCCCCTGCCTTGGCCTTCCGTGTGCCTTGTCCTCACCATGCTCTCCCTGGGGCCAGACCAGGGCGGCAGGGAGATCCGGGGCAAGGGACGCCTCAACGTGGTTCTCCATTCAGGTCCATCCTAACTCGTGAATGCCCTGCCCCCCAAGTCTCAGGGACTGTGGGCTGGGACCCAGGCCTGGAGTTGATCCGAGCCCCCGCCCACATCCTCTGCAGTGCAGAGGAGCGTAGGGGCGGGCAGACATGCCAGGCAGATGTGCTGCACAGGCCTGCTGTCCTGTCGCTGAGAATCCAGCCCACACCCCAGGACCCCAGAACTCACACTCCTGAAACCTCATCTAGCGGGACAGGTGGGGATGGCCAGGGGGTCGTCCTGGATGGAGCTAGAGATGGGAGCAGTGTGCAGCCAGTGGCTTCCAGGGCCCCAGGTTCCTGGCTTTGCACAGACCACGGGCATGAGTGCCACCTGTACTGCTAGCTGTGCAGACCCGATAGCCAGCTGCCCCCAGGCCTGCCACTCAGTCTTGTCCCTGACTGCACTCCACTCCTGTGTAGGACAGGCAGCAGCTGCTGCTTTGGGTCCCAGAGAGAAGCGTGCTGGCGACTGGTGGGGTGGGTGGAGCTCTCCTTACCTCCCCACTCCCAGGCCACCAGGAATGTGGAGGGAGGAGAAGCCCCTGTGTATTCACTCAGTCCTTGGGAAGCCCGTGGAAACACATGCTCTGCGCCCTTCCCCCGCCGCATGGCACCATGTCCAGCATCTGAGGTGCCATCTCAGAGAAGGTGACAGCAGCCTCTGAACTGCCAGCCACCTTAGGACAGGCACCAAGGTCATTGCCAGCCCCTGCCCTGTCAGCTCCACGGCAGCTGGGCCTGAGTGACAAGGGCCCTGACGGCTTCCTGTCCCCTCCCACTGTCTCCTGGGTGGTGGGCAAGAGCTCCAGGAGCCTGTCCTTGCCAACAATGGGACCATTGAGCGAAGGAACGGCCTGTTCCCCGCGCCTCCTTGGGCCTGCGTGGCCCTACATGGCCCTGCATGGCGCTGCATAGCCCCATTGATTTCTGAGCCCATGTTGGCGATCCAGCCTGAATAGATGGAGCTGCCTTCCTCCTCCCGGGACCTTCCTGCTTCCCCAAACCAGCATTTTCTAGAAGGGTAGATGGACGACTTCTAGTCGGCTGTCCCCACCTTTGCTGCTCCCTGAATGGCTTTGATTTCCTGCCACTTTGGCTTTGCCCAAAGTAGAGAGGGAGGCGACGTCCTCTAACACACTGCCCTAACTGTATGGTGCATCTGTACCCCGCGGGGTTGCTCACCGCAGTGAAAATGGGCCAAAGTTCTCAGGCTCTGACCGAACCAACCACACGAGAGTCAGGAATGCCGGCAGCTGGCTTGGATGGCGGCCTCTGCCCTCCACCACACCCCGAGACCCCCCTGCCACTCTGCTGAGGCAGCTCACTGATGGAGGCTGCCGCTCTGGCCACGCCACACCTCCCAGGGATGGGCAGCCACAGGCTGCAGCTCGCTCTGGGCCCTGGCCTTTGTCCTGTGTGCCAGAGAGCCGAGCAGCCAAACCTTCTGCAGAGAAGGTTCAGAGAGGGCGCCCCACTGCACCCCTCCAGCTCTGGGGAGGTGGGCAGGTCTGTGAGGGAAGGGCTGAGGCCAACACACACAGTGGGCCCCTCTGCGAGGGCTGTGACCACCCTCATTCTCCAACTGCTTACCCTGAGATGAAACGGCCCCGCAGGGCGGGCCTGTACCCCTCTAAGCCATAGCGCACACCACTGAGGTTCCATCTGGGCTCGTGTGGCTGCCCCAGTGGCTGTGCCATGGTCACTGGGGCCCGGGAGTGTTTGAAGGAGACAAGGCCTTAGGTGAGCATGGGCAGTGCCTCTCAGACCCCAGACAGGCGAGCTGTGGGTCACATCAGGCAGCTTTCAGAGGCTTATGAGAAGGCCGCAGAGTACCGGCCCCACACGGTCAGCCGAGGGAGCTGTGTTGTTCATCTGTTTCTTATATAAGAGGACAATGAAGGGCACAGAGCCGACCACGGTGGGAGCCCACTTGCCTGTGTGCGTCCCACTCTGTCCCTGTCCCTCACCTCTGGGCTCTAGCTCTTCAAACACTGCAGTGTAGTGGATAATGCTGCACCTGCAGTGCTGGGATCTCGGATGGGCGCAGGTTAGAGTCCCGGCTGCTCCACCTCCCATCCAGCTCCCTGCTAAGGGCCTGGGAAAGCAGTGGAAGATGGCCCTTGTGCTTGGGGCCCTTGCCACCCACGTGGGAGCCCAAAGTTCCCGGCTTGGGCTTGACCCAGCCTTAGCTACTGTGGCCACTGGATAGAAGATCTGTTTCTCACTCGCTCTCTGTAACTGGCTTTCCAATAAATAAATTTTTTAAAAAGAACTGAGTTCCCAGGTTACTGACCAAAGGCCTTCCCTGGGATTCGGGAAGCAGGCTGCCCGCCTGCCCGTGTCCTGGAGAAGGTGGCTCAAGGAAGCCCGGCCAGAGGCCACCAAGCCACCAGCTCTCTCTTCATTCTGGAGTTGAGTTCTCTTTTTGCTATGCCCCAGTGTGAGTTCAGTTATATCGCTTGAAGCCCGAATTGAGTGAGAACGAGCCCTGTCTGTCACATTGGGCTTGGCTTCTTGGAGCCTGGCCTGGCCCGGTCCCCATCGTCCTGGCGGCAGGAGGAGTCCTTTGCTGTGGCCGGCATTCACCTGTGAGCTCAGCCCCCAGCCCAACCAGGCTGTGAGACCCCCACTACTACCCGGTGTCATCACCCCTGGCCCTGGTGACTTCACACGCTTGACTGCAGGACTCTGGCCCCTGTCCCCCAGTCTGTGTGAGTGCCCCGAGCGCATCTGTGTTGCTGGGAGTTGAGCTGGCCAGGGCTGCAGCATGGGGTCCAGAGACCACAACATCCGGGTGGCTTTGCCGCATGACCTGGGGGAACATTGCTGATGCTTCGTGGGCAAATGGGACGCTGGCCACAGGGCTGCTTGTGGAATGTTCTGAGCACGGAGCTTACTTAGCCATTCTCCACGAGCTGCCTCTGTGCCTGGCTCCAGTGTGGATGTGGGCTCTACCGTGGGCTGACGGGCCGGAGCAGAGATGCTATGCTGTGCCACGTTGGGGAGGGCTGGCGGGTGGGCAGCTCAGGCCTGCCTTGGCCTCAGGATGCTTACCTCCTTCCTCAGAGTGTGCCAAAGTGTTCCACGCCTCGGGGGCTAAGCTCGTGCTCTGTGGCCGGAACGTGGAGGCCCTGGAGGAACTCGCCAGAGAGCTCATTGCCACTCCTGCCACCAAGGTGAGCCCCGGGGCCGCTGTGCTTGGGGGAGAAGGGTGGATTGGTCCCAGGGGGATCCCCACAACATGGCACATTGCACCCTCAGTGTTTGGGGTTAGCAGTGACCTTCCAAAACAGTCACAGATCTGAAGCCATTAAGTCAACTGTATAGCATGCGGTGTGTCAGCCATTTATTAACGCATAGCTCAGCGGTGTGAACCACTCTCCACATCCAACACTCCCCCAACATCCCCACCAAAGTGCTGCGCCCGTCAAACAGCCCCTGGAAGCCCTCTCGATGTCTCTCTGTTCCTGTGAGTGGAACCACTCCAGATCCCCACCATGGGGGGAAATCACCCCATGTCCGTGCATGACGGCTGCCTTTGGTGCCTCACATGCCATTGGCACGCTGTCCTCCTGCTGCAGCCTGTGCCAGGGTCAGCATCCTGTTGAAGGCTGAGCGATACTCCGCTGCGTGTGTGTGTGTGTGTGTGTGTGTGTGTGTGTGTGTGACAGGCTTACCTGTCCCTCTGCTGGTTTCCCACCCTTTGACTCTAGTGAGCGTTGGTACTCAGGGTCCTGCATCGCAGTGTTTGCTGTTCTGAGCCACCTTGCCAGGCAGTCTGGCCATCTCAGCCTTGGGAGGGAAGGTGGCTCTGCTGAGATGCTTGCCACAGTAGCAGCAGCAGCACCCCACCAGCAGGGCCCCTGGCTGGGGGGGCCTCACCTTCGTGATTCTCTTCATCCCGGTAGGAAGTGACGCTCCCCGTGGTCTCATGTCTGTTTCCCTGTCCCGAAGGGGCTGAGTGTGTGTGCTCATGCTTTCCCGGCATTTGTACGCCTTTACAGGAGCACCTCTGTTCTCTGCCCTAGCAGAAGCAGGCGGCTGGGAATTCTTGTTGGGTTTTGCTCATCAGGTCCGCCAGCCTCGGGTACCTTCTCCTAATCAGTAGACTGTCTTCTATATAAAAAGCTTTGTTTTTAATGAAATGCAGTTCATCTGCTTTTGTTGTGGTGGCAGTTCTTTAGGTTTGTTTGGTTTGTTCATGTTTTGGATGTCACATCTGTCAAGTTGTTACAGAGTCCATTGTCATGAAGATTTTTCTCCAGTGCTTTCTTCTATAACTTTTCTTAATATTTACTTATTTTTATTTGAAGGGCAGCTTTACAGAGAGAAGCTGCCCTGCATTCCCTAAATGACTACATTGCCCAAAGCTGAACCGATCCAAAGCCAGGGGCCAGAAGCTTCTTCCAGGCCTCCCACTGAAGTGCAAGAACCCAAGGGCTTGAGCCAGCCATCTTTGCTTTCCCAGGCCACAAGCAGGGAGCTTGTGGAAGTGGAGCAGCTGGGACTCCAACCAGCACCCATGTGGATGTAAGCAGGCGCTGCAGGTGAAGGATTAGCCTGTTGAGCGACCACACCCGTTGAGTTTTTATGAGGTCTATGAGGGGTTTTTTACTTGCAACTCTTAGATATGGTATTAGATAGAGCTTCAGCCTCATTGTTCAGAGTGTGAATCTTCTACTGTATTTATCTATTTTGAAGATTTTATTTTACTTATCTAAAAGAATTAGAGGCAGATGTTCCATCCACTGGTTCAATCCCCACGTGCCTTCAACGGCTAGAGCTAGGCCGGTGTGAAGCCGGGAGCTGCAGCCGGGTCTCCCGCGTGGGCGCCGGGGCCTGAGCACTTGGGCCATCCTCTGCTGCTTTCCCAGGGAGCATGACTTCAGGAGGAACAAACAGGTGCCCATACGCGTGCTGGGACTGCAGGCAGTGACTTGACTGGTGCCCGCCCTTGGGTGTCCACTTTGACCAACCCTGCTTGTTGAGGGCTCCCTACTGGACAGTTCTTGGCACCTTGCAGTGGCCCACACACTTGAGGCTCTTTGTTCTGTTACATTGATGTATTTGTCCGTGTCGGTGCTTTTCCGCTTTCATCACTGCGGGTTTCTAGTACTGGGGTCGAAGAGCGCTTTCAGGATTGTTTTAGCTATTCATGATCCACTGCTGTCCCATAGGAATTGGTTTTCACTATTTCTGAGAAAAAGAAAATATCATCAGGTGGTTTTGTTGTTGTTTTGTAGGAATTGCATTGAATGAGGGAGAAAAAGGCAGAGTGACAGTGAAATCTTCCAACCACTGGTTCAGTCCCCAACTGGCCACAGTGGGGACTTTGGCCGGAGCTAAACCGATCCAAAGCCAGGAGCCAGGAGCTCTTTCTGGGTCTCCCATGTTCCCAAGGCTTTGGGGCATCCTCCACTTGCAGAGAATTGCCTGTTGAGACACCACAGTAGCCCCCCATCCTTTCACTTTCAACCCACTTGTAATTTCGGGCCTAAAGTGAACTTCTTATACATAGATAGTGTGTGAGTGGATCCCTTTCTACAAGATCCATTCTGGAGCCCACACCATGGCGTAGTGAGGTTAAGCCTCCATCTGTGGTGCCGGCATCCCCCACGGACACTGGTTCAAGTCCCGTCCCAGCTGCTTAACTTCCGATCCAGCTCCCTGCTATTGTGCCTGGAAAGCAGTGGATGGCGGCTCAGGTCCTCGGGTCCCTGGCACCCATGTGGGAGCCCCAGCGGAAGCTCCATGCTGCAGATTCTGAACCACACCGGCTCAACTCCAGCCACTGCAGCCATTTCAGGAGTGAGCCAGCAGACAGACCCTCTGTAACTCTGCCTTTCAAATAAAGAAGATCCATTCTGCCCATTTCTGTCTTTTTTGATTGGAGACGTTAATCTGTTCGTGTCTAAAGTAATCCCTGAGGAAGTGTGGCCGACTTCTGCCCACTTCCCTGGCACCTGACTTTTTCCCTCTCATTCTTCCCATCCTGTTCGTTTGTGTTTAGCTGAGTTTTTGGTAGTGAAATGTTTTCTCTTTTTGTGTCCTTCCCCTGCACCCCCATGTATGTTTTCTTGGTGGCTGCCTGGGGGTTCCATCCCTGTACTGAAGTTCCAACACCAACACACCATTCCGTTTCAGTAGCAGATAGGAACACTGTCTCCCTTCCTGTTCGTGTGACGGGTCACAGCTCCGTCCCCTGTTTGCTCTGTAACATGGCTCTTCAGGTGGTGTAGAAAAGCAGAGCCCTAAGCCAGCATCGCAGCTGGAGGGGAGGGGTGCGACTCCTGGAGGTGGCTGTCTCCTCCGCTGCCTGCCAGGTCGCTCACCGGCCCCTTCCTTTCCTGCCCAGCCAGGTCCCCGTGAGCGCTCCCTGCGGGGCAGGGCTGCCGGCCGGAACTCCTTCGGCTCTGGTTATTTGGAGAATAGTCACACCAGGCAGAGTTTGGGGCTGGTTGGTTTGCTTGGTTTTGTTCATTAGCACTTGAATCTATCAGCCCGCTGGCTTTGGCATTCCAAGATTTCTGCAGACAAGTCCTCTGGCCATCACGCTGAAGATGAGGCAGGAGAGGAACTGCCTCTCTGGCTGTGGGCATCTGATTGCCCTGCCTCACCTGGAGCCCTACCCCATCTGGGACCCTGCCTCTGCCTGGAACCCTACCCCGCCCGGGGCCCTACCCCATCTGGGACCCTGCCTCTGCCTGGAACCCTACCCCGCCCGGGGCCCTACCCCATCTGGGACCCTGCCTCTGCCTGGAACCCTACCCCGCCTGGGGCCCTGCCTCACCTGGGACCCTACACTGCCTAGGGCCCTACTCTGCCTGGGACCCTACCCCACCTGGGGCCCTGCCTCTGCCTGGGACCCTACCCCGCCTGGGGCCCTGCCTCACCTGGGACCCTACACTGCCTAGGGCCCTACTCTGCCTGGGACCCTACCCCACCTGGGGCCCTGCCTCTGCCTGGGACCCTACCCCGCCTGGGGCCCTGCCTCACCTGGGATCCCGCCCAAGCTCTGTCTCACCTAGGGTCCTACCTCAGCGTTGGAAGGCTTCCAGCTCCAGGAGAGCTCCTTGCTCTCTCCCCACCCCGATGTCCACAGCTCCTGTGCTGGGCTGCCTGGCTGTGTGGTGAGAGCCCGCGGGTCCCTCTGCTCACCAGTCGCCATCCTCTTCTCGGTTCTCTTCAGACACAGTGCCACCTCTTGGTGTCAGCTCTCTGCCTGTTCAGATCTGCTCTTCCATCCTGACCCCTCTTCCTCAAAGGGACATCCTGAGCAGGATGCTGGCGCTTCCAGCTCTGGGGACTGTGCAAGCAGTGTCCCCCTGTGCTCCCTGGCATGGAGAGTCACCTGTCTTCCCTGGTCAGGACTCCTGGCTACTAGTCTCTGGGGAATAGCACAGGCCCTGGAAGAAGCTGCAGGCAGGTCCCAGAGGGGAAACCTGAGAGGGTGCCAGCGCAGCTAAGAGGGCAAAGGGCTGGGCTGCTGTGCTCTGCCACCTGCTCTGCCCTCATACCCCCTCACTTTCATGGAAAAGCCCTCTGAGTCAGGCTGCTCGATCCCTCGTTTCTCTGGAGCCTTATAAGCATTCCCTAAAGTTCCAGGACCCAGCTGCACCTTGTGCCATGTCCCCAGTGCCTGGCACCCAGGGGGCCTGCAAAGAGTGGCCATGTCCCCAGTGCCTGGCACCCACGGGGCCTGCAAAGAGTGGCCATGTCCCCAGTGCCTGGCACCCAGGGGGCCTGCCAAAAGTGATTCTCATGCAGGTGAATGCATGGCACTTAACCCAAGCCAGACAGCACAGTGATGGTCAGAGAACAGCGAGAGCTGTGGGGCATCTCACACCACTCCAGGGACACGTACAGCATCAGACTTGGGCCTGTGCAGCTGGCGCCCTGCCAGGCAGGGGACGAGCAGCCCCAGATTGGAGTTGGTGGAGTGCAGAGGCGGCTATGCACCTGCAGAAAGGTAGCCCCGGGCCCTGACTCTTGGGCAGAGGGTTGTGGCAGTCGTGTCGTTTCGTGTTGTAGCCTCCCGCAGAGCCCTGCAGTCCACAGGGCCGGTGGCTCAGCTGTCTCCTGTCTGTGGCGTTTGAGCAGGTGCAGACACACAAGCCTCACACGGTGACCTTCGACCTCGCAGACCCTGGGGCCATAGCGGTGGCGGCAGCACAGATCGTGCAGTGCTTCGGCCACGTGGACATCCTCATCAACAATGCCGGCATCAGCTACCGTGGCGCCATCCAGGACACGGCCGTGGACGTGGACAGGAAGGTCATGGAGACAAACTACTTCGGCCCGGTGGCTCTAACGAAAGGTGACAGCCTGGCATGGGGCTGTCTTTGCTTCTGCTGGTCTTTCTCGGCCCAGCCTCGGCTGTCCTGTCCTCCCACCCCAGGGCAGGGCTGGAGGGGATTCACTGTGGCTAGGGGACGGGTGCTGTGTCTCTGCCTGATTTCCAGCCTCCACTTGAGGTGCTGTCCTCGGCAGTGGTCCTATTGGCACAGCATCACTCCTTTCCTCGCCTCGCTTCACTGTGTGCAAAGTGGACTGCTGCCAGCACTGGAACAGGGAACCCTGGCCGCCCCTGGCGGGCTGGCACTAGAGGGAGCGCCCCTGAGGCCCCCACCCATGCCTGCACCGTCTCTCCTCAGCACTCCTTCCTGGCATGATCCAGAGGCAGCAGGGCCACGTGGTTGCCATCAGCAGCGTCCAGGGCAGAATCAGCATCCCTTTTCGCTCGGCATGTGAGTATCCAGGTCCTCCTTGCAGCCACCTCTTCAGTTGAGTCATCAGGGCAGCACACAGATAGGTGCCCTCAGCGAGTGTGCCCTGGAGCCCCAGCCCAGGCTGCTGCTGAGAGAAGGTACTTCGGGCAGCCTAGGTGGGCGTGCCAGCAATTCTTAAACCCCCCGGGATGATGTAAAGGTTGGTGGCTGAGGGGCCATGACATTGAGAGATACACTGGGAATGTGCGCTGGCTTACCTGGGTGAGAGCAAAGGTGGGGGCTTCCAGCTGTGCCCACACAGATGGAGGAAACAGCACTGAGAGCCAGCAATGGCACCAGCTGTGCCCAGGGAATGCCTGAGCCCACGGACACCCCAGAGTACAGGGTTCACAGCTTAGCCAGGAATTGGATACATCTAGGGGGTTGGCACCCTGGGCCCCCCATACCCTGCCAGGGGGGCTGTCAGGGGACAGAAGTGAGTTTGAGGGCCCCTAGCAGTACTGCTGGCCTGCAGCATCCACTGCTGCGAAGATGGTGCTGCGTGTCCCCACCTCCAGGCTCTGCTGTGCATGAGACACCCAAAGCCATCCACAGGCTGCAGTCTGCTTCTCATTGCGTCGTCGGAGCCCTGGACAGCCAGGGCGTGACCAGAAGCATGAGGTCCCACACACCGTGTACAGGGACACCTTCACCCCTGGGTCCTGGGAGGCTCCACAATGAAGAGAGGTGGAGTCAGAAACCACACTTGCCACACGGACTCCCTGTGTGAATACAGCTGTGTCATTCACGTCACAGCAGCAGATGCCTACCCAGAAAGCAGTTGTCTTTCCATTTTTATTGGTAAGGCAGATCAGATTTACAGAAAGGAAACAGAGAAAGATCTATCCACTGGTTCACTCCCCAAGTAATCGACAATGGCCAAAGCTGAGTTGATAGAAGTCAAGACCAGGAGCCTCTTCTGGGTCTCCACGCAGAGACCAAGGCTTTGGGCCATCCTCAACTGCTTTCCCAGGCCACAAGCAGGGAGCTGGAGGGTGTTACCCATATAAGGTGTCTGCACTTACAGGAGGCTTAGCCAATCAAGCCATTGCACAGGCCCTTTTCTCACTCATTTGAAAGGCAGGAAGAGACCAAGAAACAGAGCTCTGCTGAGGCCCAAGGCCGTGTCCTGCACACAGGAGTGGAGGTTAGAGTAGGAAGCTGTTACTTAAGCCATTGCTGCTGCCTGCCAGGGCCTGACGCACACACAGGCCTTGTACACAGGAGCAGCAGTGTGGCGCAAGGCCATGGCACCTGCAGTTTTTCTTGGACCATCTGAAAGGAAGCTGGAGACTCAGTGTCTCGACTCGTAACTCTCCAGGTGTCACAGGCAGGAACTGCACTCACTCGGCACCGTTTCTGAAGGCAGATTTGAGCAGTTATGGGCAGGCCCATGGCCACATCCCAGGCTGGAGGGCTTGTTCAGGTGCCTTCCCTGCTTCCCATCCGGCTTCCTGCTAAGCATACGTTCTGTGAGGCAGCAGGTGTCGCTTCAAGTGCTTGGGTCCCTGCCACCCACATGGGAGACCTAGACAAGTGCCAAGCTTCAGCCTGGCCCAGCCCTGGCCATGGCAGGATCTGGGGAGAATCCACCAGCAGATGCAAGATGTGTGTCTGCCTTCCAAATACTTAAGCATTGTTTAAAGCTATGTGTGTGAAGAGGGGGGATGGGATGCAGCTGGTCCTCACTGCCACCCAGCCAGGGCACTCACCAGCCCCTCCACCCGCCCCACCAGACGCAGCCTCCAAGCATGCCACCCAGGCATTCTTTGACTGTCTGCGCGCCGAGCTGGAACAGGACCAGATTGCGGTGACTGTCGTCAGCCCCGGCTACATCCACACCAACCTCTCTCTCAACGCCGTCACTGCCAACGGTTCTAGATACGGAGGTGAGGCCAGGCCCTCCTGCATCTGCAGAGGGACACAGTGCTTGGACAGGGAGGGTGGGTTGTCTCCACTTACCCTGCTGGAGGCCCCCCGACTCCAGCTGTTCCAGGGTTCCAGGAGAGCTGGCCCCAGCCCCATGGCAGGTGTGGGTGGTGGTACCGCAGAGCCCCTCCTCAAGTCGGGCTGGTGGTGCCTTCCTGCCCACCCTGCCACTGTGACCCTCCCAAGCCATGCCTGACCATTGGCATGGATGCTCTGTGTGGCAGCAAGCACTCAGGGGCCTGGGCTTCACATTTCCTGTCCACAAACTCCCATCTGTGTTCTCAGTGCACAGGGCAGATGCTGGTGGGTGAGGGAGCCTAGGGGGTAGGGGGCGCTAAGGTTGCAAAACCAAGGTGATGTGGAGGAGGGGACCTTCCCTGGCTACCTCTGGCCTGGCCAGCATAAGCTTGCAGTGCACCCCAGGTCCTGCAGCTCCTGATCACATGGAGTTCAGAGGTCATGTTGCTTCTCTGGTGGGGGCCTGCTTGGAGAACCCCCCCCACACACACACCCAGGTGGCCTCTGTCTCTGCTCCCATCTGCCCCAGCATCCCCCAGGCCCTTGACGGGTGCAGGGTGCTGGGCCTGCGTTCCAGCACTCAGGTTGTGTGTGCTCTGCTTGTTCACCTCAGCCATGGATAAGAACACAGCCCAGGGCCAGAGCCCCACCCAGGTGGCCCAGGCCGTGCTGGCGGCCGTGGGCAGGAAGCAGAAGGACGTGGTGCTGGCCGACCTGCAGCCCTCCCTGGCCATCTACCTGCGCACGCTGGCCCCCGGACTCTTCTTCAGACTCATGGCCTCTAGGGCCAGGAAGGAGCACAAGGCCAAGGGTTCCTAGCAGCACACAGGAGCGCAGGAGGTCCCGGGCCAGGCCCTCTGCCTGCCAGCTCTTGAGGCTGCCTGCCTGCTGTGGCACAGCCTCCCAACCCTCACCCAAGGACATCCCTCACAGCCAAGAGTGTGGGCCTGAGGACGGTTTGCAGTGTCCCATGTAGTGCCCACGGCAGCACCTGAGAGGAGCCCTGTTCCCCTACTGGCCTTCATCCAGCCGGTGCTGGGACAGCAGGTGCCACTCCAAGAGGAGTTTACTAAGCAACAGCAGCCAGCAGGGAGAGGACCTGCCCAGGCCAGGCTGTCCCAGTTGGCCGTAGCCAGGCATCCCTCTCCCACCTGTCCAGTTTATGGACAATAAAGAGCTGAGGTTTGTGGTGAAGGTCAGCTTCATTTCTTCAAAGTTAAGAAAAACTGATACACTAGCTCAGATGCCTGGTCTATCGAAGGCTGCTTCCTTAGGTCAGATACTGCAGCTGGGGGACTGCCTCCCCCTCCATCCCATGGCCACCAGGAGCACAGCAGCATGCACTCCTGCACATGCAATGTCTTCCCCAGGTCCCCAGGGACTGGCACACCCCTCTTCATCACAAGCGTGGCTATCCTCAAGGCAGGTGTGCCACTCCACAAGACCTGCCTTACACAAATCCCAGATGGGCACGCTCTGGGGGGGAGGGGGGCCCTGTGTCTGAGGGTGACCTGCCTTACAAATCCCAGCCGGGCATGCACATTGGAGGAGTGTGTGAGCTGCCTTTGAAGTCTTAGCCAGTCACGCACATAGGAAATAATGCAGGGCAAAGCCAACAGCTGCCCAGGTCCAGCTCCCTACAGCTGCCTCCGCGCAAGGCCAGCTAACGCCTGCTCTGCCCAGCACAGAGCTCCTGGAGTTCAGTGTTCTGAGGCCGATTCAGGTGCCCGGGGTGAGCTGGTGCACTGCGGGCAGCTCTTGGCTTTGTGCACAGCCAGGGGCAGTCCCCACTCTGTGCAGAGGGCGTCTCGGCCCTGGGCCTGCGGGGACGGCTGCAGAACACAGCACTGTGCTGGTTCTGCCTTCAGGCATGCCACGGTTCAGGCACTTGGTTCCCCAGGACTCACAGCCAGAACCAGGGAATGGGAGAGAAAGCCACATGGGTGCTCCCAGACACAGCCAACAGGACACCAAGGAGGCACCCCAGAGCATGCCAGGGCTATTCAGGCACAAGCTGGGAGAGGCACACTGCAGGGTGCCCAGCCCTGGCTCCTGGCAGAGCAGATCCTGGCCTGTGGGGGAGGGCAGCGCTGGGTTTGCCCCTGGTTTCGCCCCAGCCCAGTCCCCACTGCCTAGTGGATGGCAGCTAAGAAGGGGACTGGCTCCTAGCCCACTGCAGACAGCAGACGCACTTACTGCGGAACAGAATCTCACTCCCCACACTAGCACTGAGCCAGAGTGGGGCAGCTGTGATGGGACCCAACTGGGCAGGGGCCTGGGGCACGCTGAGCCGTCTCCCCAGACTGGAGAGCGCAAGAGCCCTTCAAGACCTGGGCTCTGCCCATGAGGGCCATCCCACTGTGCGTCTGGTCTCTGCTGACACGGGGCTGTGACAGTGGCTCCTGATGGCCCAAGGTGCTGGGTGAACAACCATGTGCCAGCAAGACAGCACCTAGAGCCCATCCCCCAGGCCAAGTTCTTGTGCACATCTGGGGGGCCCTGCCCGCTCCGCAGCAGTGAGCAGGCAGTCCAAGTGAGCCCCCCACTCAGGGAAGGAGACGGGTGGGCGCTGCAGTCATCATAATTTTAATGGTCAGCAGCTCCCGGTTGGCTCTGGATGGTGCAGCGACACAGCTTACGGCAAGCCCCCCCCAGCACGCGCCCCTCGGCCCGCCAGGTGCCCCTGGCCCCGGCCCCCCTGGGCTGCGGGAAGCCACAGCTCAGTGCAGCGAGCTGGAAACCCCTTGGCACACCCATGATCTGTGTTACTTTAAAAAGAATGAAGATCCGACTAGCCCCGTGCCGGGCTGGGCGGCCCGCAGTCATACGGCGTAGAGCTCGTACACCTTCTTTACACAGTACACCAGGGCGGCCAGCGCTATCGTGTTGTGCAGTCTCTTTCTGTGCAGGTCGTCCTTGCGGACCAGCACCACGGGCGTGGACGAGGTGAGCGTGTGCAGCGGCAGGCGCGACAGTTTGTAGGCGTCGTACTCCACCTGGTACTTGCAGCAAGGGTCGAACTGCCAGGAGATGCCGTAGAGGGTGCAGCAGGCCAGGCTGAGCGCGCCGGCGGGCAGGGAGATGTAGTGGGAGTAATCCAGGGGCAAGGCCCAGGGCGTGCAGAGGCAGGCGGTGCCCGCCAGCACGGCCGTCTTGTGCAGGCAGTTGCCCACGGTGATCCAGCGCGCCGTCTCGTCGCCGATGCGCGTGGGCTCGATCACGATGTACTTGTACTGCGCCTCCAGGGCCTGCTCCAGCTCGTACTCAAACTGGTCCTGGGCGTTCTCGCCATTGTAGATCTCGTGCACGATGTAGCAGTCGCTGGCCGACAGGCTCACCCTGGGAGGGGGGGAAGGAGACAGCGTGAGGCCAAGGGTCAGCACGACCCCAGGCTCTGTGGGGCGCCTGGGTCTCCATGCCCTGCAGACCCAGTGAACAGCAGCAAAGAAGGTGCAGGAAGAGGCATGCCGGGTGTCCATGCCAAACACAGACTGGGCAGGGCGAGGGAGCGCGGCACAGGCTGGCTGGACCCAGGAGCACACCGGCCACCAGCAGGGCGTGGACACCTGTGCAGGAGAGCTGAGGGGCCCGGCTGCATCCCAGTGCCCTGGCCCTCCAGGAAGGCCTCCACATGCACTCGGAGCCGGGCCTGCCGCGGCCTGTGTGTGCCCAGAGCCCCTCTCCCAGCCACTGCGAGGCCTCACCACACTCAAGGGGCACCCACACACCACATTGCCACCGATTCCTACTTCTTGGGCTTGTTCAGCCTATCCAGGCCATTCTCAAGCACACACCACAAAGCACTCCACAGAACTGCGGGGCAGGCTGCCACTCAGAACATGCCTGCCCGTGCAGGGTTGCTCTGCTTCCCATCCAGCTCCCCAGTGGTGTTCAGCTGCTCTGAGAGGAGCCCCTGGCCCTGCCCGGGCTCAGTCACTGTGGAAACAGATGCAGGACCAGCTTCTCCCGCCAAACAGACCTAAAGAGGAGATCCCGGTGCAGGAGGCTGCACACACCCATCACCTCCTTGTCTCAGGTCATCTGCTCACACTGCTTTTTTTAAGCATTACTTATTCTTGCTTGAAAGAGTTAGAGAGGGAAACAGAGAGGTCTTCATCTGCTGGTCTATTCCCGGAGTGGCCGCAACAGCCAGGAGCTTCTTCCGGTCGCCCACATGGTACAGCGGCCTAAGCACCTGCACCATCCTGTCTGACTTTCCCAGGCCGTTAGCAGGGAGCTGGAGCAGAAGTGGGGCGTGCTGGCTCGCCTGGCTAATCTTCCTGCAAATCCTGTTTGGATACCTGTTTGTGTCCCAGCTGCTCCACTTCCTATCCAGCTCCCTGCTTGTATGCAGGGACGGCCCAAAGCCTTGGGACCCTGCGCCTGCGGGGCATCCCCCCAAGAAGACCCACATGACCCTGCCACTCCAAGCAGGGCGCCCACCTGAAAAGTGACTTTAGCAAAGAGCAAACCTTTAACTGGATAAACACCCAGTGATCACGGTAGACCCAGAAGTGGGAAGAGGGGCACAGGGGGCAGGCTCTGCTTTCAGGCAGGGCTGCTTTAACCAGGATGGACTCACACTAGGGCTCTCCGAGGTACCTCACAGCCTTGGGCTCTGGGGAGACATGGTTCCCTTAGCGAGAGGGTGCAGCATCCTGCTGGTCAACGCACAGGACTGCAGAGCGGGAAGAGCAGGCATAACCCAGGAGGTACAGGAGCATGTCCACCTGTCCCAACATGCCGGTGCCACAGTCACTCCTGGGGCCGGTGTGGACATAGGTGTGCTCGTCCCTGGAGACAGCCCCACAGCTCCGCTCCCCACTGCCCGTAAGGCCACAGGGCAGCTCATCCCATGGCTGCCTGCTGCCAGGAGGGGGGTCTACAGGGGAGGTTTCTGCAGTCAGGCCAGGGCCCCCTGATGGTACGCAAGATGGGAAGACAGCATGCTTCAAACCAGGACAGCGCGAAGTAGGCGGATGCCTGTCAGAGTCCATGGCATCTGCTCACAGCAGACAGACCAGCCTGGAGCTGCCACCACAGCGGCACAGGCACTACATACACCACATGCACACCACGCACTACAAACCACACACCTCATACCATGCATACTACACACACCACACACCACACATGAACCACATGCCACACGTGCACTGCTGTGCCTTTTGCATAGGACACTGCAGACCGAGGGTTCTGAGAGGGAGCCTGCTCCAGCCACGGCTCAGCTGCCCAGCACCCATGCACCTGAGCTCACTTCTGTTTCTGGCTCAAAGATAGGGTAAGGAACACGAGGGCCTGGTGAGGCAGCCCAGGAACGCCACCCCTGCTGGTCCTGCAGGCTGCACAGGCGGCCCCACCCGCTCCCGGGCACACAGAAGCACTGTTCTCCACCAGCCTTTGGCTCCAGGCCTCCTGAGAGGTCACATTTTTGCAGGTGTGAGGCACCCAGTGGGACAGCCTAGCGGGGGCAAGCATCTGGCCCAGAGAGAGGGCAGCCGCAGGCCGGCTCTGCTCCAGATGCAGGTAGCTACCTTCCTGCCGCCCGTGGGAGGCCCAGATGCAGCCCCTCGCTTCTGTAGGCACCGGGGGGATGAAGCAGAGGATGGGAGCCACTGCTTTCCGGCCCTCTGTGCCTCTCAACAAAGTAAATAACTGGAAAGAGAATAAAGTGTGTGTTATTATAGCAGTGGACTACCATGGGCAATGGGGTAAGCCACTGCCCACAATGTGACATCCTCATTGAAACACTGGTTCAAATTCAGCTGCTACTCTATGCTGCCTATCTAGTCCCCACGAGTGCTTGGTCCTGCACACATGGGAAACCCAGATGGCACGGGGATCCTAGCTCTGACCTGGCCCAGCTGCAGCTGTTGCAACTACATGGGAAGTAAAGACCTCTATCAAACAAGTGAAGGGTAAATCATAGTACTGATAACGACAAAGTGACCAAGATTAGGCCAGCTGCAGCACCATCCAAACACATGACTCGGGTCGGGCACCGAGGCAGCCGGGTGGTCGGGCAACGAAGAGTGGCCCTGCTTGGGCTCTTTTCAGCTGGGCCGCTCTGGCTCGTAAGGAACGGGGACAGGAAGCACACACTCACCACGCTGCCACTGGGGCTGCTGCAGAGCAGGACAGGTCCTGTGTCGCCGGGAGGGTGGCCTACCCCAACCCAGGCCTGTCATCCATCCTGGCAGGCCAGCCTGCAGAGACCCCTCTGTACATTAAGAGCTGGCAGGAGGGAACCACGAGTGGGCTCCAGCACAGCCAGCCCCCAGGGAGCCAGGTGGCTAAGGCAACCCTGGTTTTCTACTTAAACTTACCACCTGGGCATGGCACTGTGGTACAGCGGGGTAAGCCACTGCCTGTCTGTTACAGGCTTCTGTTAAGCCTCCCATATCTGAGGACCAATTCAAGTCCTGGCTGCTCCACTTCCACACCAGCTTCCTGCTGACGCACAAGAGAAAGCAGCTCAGGACGGGCCAAGTGCTTGGGTCCCTGCACCTGTGCGGGAGTCCTGGATGGAGCTCCAGGTGCCTGGCTTGAGCCTGCCCAAGAACTGGCTGGGTGGCCATTTAGGCAGTAAACCAGTGGAGAGAAACATCAACTTGGTCACTCTGTTCCAAATTTGAAGATTTATTTTTCCTGGAAAGGCAGATTTACAGAGAAAAGGATACGCAGAAACAAAGATCCATCTGCTGGTTCACTCCCCAAGTGGCCGCAACAGCCAGAGCTGAGCAGATCCAAAACCAGAAGCCTCCAGGTCTCCCACGCGGGTGCAGGGTCCCAAGGCTTTGGGCCGTCCTCAACTGCTTTCCCAGGCCACAGGCAGAGAGCTGCATGGGAAGGGGGCTGCCAGGATTAGAACCAATGCCCATATGGGATCGCAGCAAGTTCAAGGCAAGGGGTTTAACTACTGAGCCATCACACCGGACCCACATTTCAAATTTAAGAACGACATCTTACACTCCTGTGACTGAGGGACACACTCCTGCATGATCCACCTGCACAACACCCCAGTGGCATGAGCCCCACAAACCCCAGACCGGGGCCAGGGGCCAGCTCCCAGACTTGAACCCGGGCACTCGATGTGATGCCACTTCACATCCCAGCCAACATCACTCTGGTGGCCATTTCCTGACAGCAATGACCTTAGCAAAGTGGCCTCCTTGGACCCCAAAACCACCCCATTTACAGCAGGCCCAAAACTTCAGAGCTGCAGACAGCGCCACACTGATCCCAGCCCTGGTGACCACCAGACTAAAGATGTGCCAAGCCACAAATTTCCTATACATGCCATCTTGCCTCTTGCCTTGTAGCATGCCAGTTTATCACACGTTAACCTAGCTTTCTTAAAAGTTTATTCTGAGGGCCCGGCGCAGTAGCCCAGTGGCTAAAGTCCTCAGCCTTGCAGGAGCCGGAATCCCACATGGGCACTGGTTCATATCTCAGTTGCTCCAGTTCCCATCCAGCTCCCTGCTTGTGACCTGGGAAAGCAGTGGAGGACGGCCCAAAGCCTTGGGACCCTGCACCTGTGTGGGAGACCCGGAAGAAATGCCAAGCCCCCTGCCTTGGATCAGTGGAGCTCTGGTCGTCGTGGCCATTTGGGGAGTGAATCAGCGGATGGAAGATTATTCCTCTCTGTCTCTCCTCCTCTCTGTATATCTCACTTTCCAAATAAATCATTTTTTTAAAAAAGGTTTATTCTGAAAATCAATTTCTCTGTGCAGAGCTGCACAGCCCTTCATCCTCACAGGCCATCTGGGTCTCAACGCGCAGTAGCACGTGTCCGAGCACTGACGTCAGCGCGGCCTCCCAGGCACACGCTGGCAGGGAGCTGTGTCGGGAGTGGGGGCGGAGGGACTCGTATGGGACACAGGTCTCCCACACTACGGCTTACACCGCCTGCCCCATTGACCTAACTTTTGGTGTGTTTAAATAGTCTTAGAAGTCTAAGACCAGATAAATAGCGAAGTAGCTATATGCCAACGGTGACCAACACTGGGTTTCTCCAGCAAGGCCTAACAGGTAAACTCCGTTTTCTGTTTCTTTAGGCTTTCCTGCATTTCCCAAAAAAACAAATATGTACTCCTTTTACAACAAGAAAAATCCCCAGCAAACAGCAGTCCGACCCCCGAGCAGGGAAAGCAGGTGACTGCCCCACGTCTGCCAGGGAAGGGGACCCCCTGCCCTGCCTTACTCCAGCAAGCACAGGCCGCCTGCCCTGCCAGTGTGCCCTCGCCATACCAAGGACTCAGCCCTCAGCCCGTGCCCCGCGCAGGGATGCTGCAGGTGCTCATGGGGGGAGATGGAGGGTCACGGGGGGTACTCAAGCTCCCAGAAGGCAGGACCCTTTGCACAGTGCCCAACACACGTTCCCCAGACACGCGGGTGAGGAACATCTGCCTGAGGGTGCATGGGGCAGAGCGCGGGGCGAGAGGCTGGGCTGCTTCGTGCGTGATGTGGGCACCCTGAGCAGGTGCCACCGGACACTGTGGGACCCAGCACTGCTCCCTAAGGATGCAGAGCAAGGGTGCAGCAGACAGCTGGGCTGCAGTCAGAGCCCCCAGGACTAGGGAGCCACATCCAGAACCCCAGCAGCAGGGGGCAGCAGAAGAGAGCGGGGCTCCGGCCCTCTCCCACGCACTCACTGCCTTCATTACCAGGGCAAAGCACCTCTAGTGCTCCCAGGCACCCAAATCGGCTACCATCAGAGGAAACCCCCAGGCAACAGTGCAGATGCCCAACTGGCCAGACCACGAGTGGTCCCGCAGCTGGCCTGGCACCCAGCAGACCCCAGTGGGTTCCGCCTGGCTGAGGCACCTCCCACCTCCTACCCAAGACAGCAGCTCAGCCTGTCTTTAGGTAGGCAGACTTACTGAGAGGTTGGCGCCATGGCAGGGCACACTAAACTTCTGTTTGTAGTCGCCTGGTTCAAGTCCCAGCTGCTCCACTTCCCAGCAACTCTGCAATGGTCCAATGCCTTGGTACCCTGCATCTACATGGGAGACCTGGAAGAAGCTCCGGGCTTCAGACAGACCCAGCTCTGGCTGCTGTAATCAAGGGGAGCGAACTACAGGATGGAAACGCCCTCTTTCTGCCTTTCTCTCCATATCCCTGCCTTTCAAAGAAAATATAAAAAGGGGGGAGGAGCAGGCCCTCCAAAAATGCAGTCTAAAGGACTGAGCCTGGAGGTCCACTCCACACAGCTGAATACAGGCCTCACCTGTGGCACAGAAAAGGTGCAGGGCAGTGCCCAACCTATTGCCAGAACCAGGAGCCCCTGCCCCCATCGGCCCCACGGTGGCTCACACCACCAGCCCCACATGCAAGTCCTGTACCAGCTCGTGTGCCCACCCGCCTGTCACCCCAAACTCCAAGACCCTTGGCTCACACGGGCAAGACGAGGTCAGGAAGGGGTCTTGCAGCCCTGGAACATGACTTGGCCTCCTCCGAGGCTGGGGGCTCTCCACTCAACAGAACTGGGCACTGGCACCCCTCTGCATATGACCATCTGGGACCTTGTCCATTGGAGCCCAAGAGGATGACAAGGTTCCAGGCACAAAATGTGCTCCACAGTCACCACAGGAGCTGCTGCCTTCAAAATGTCAAGGCCAGGCTGGGTGCAATATAGCCTATTGGCTAAATCCTGGCCTTGCATCCACTGGGATCCCATATGGGCACCGGTTCATATCCCAGTTGCTCCACTTCCCATCCAGTTCCCTGCTTGTGCTCTGGATAAGCAGTGGAGAATGGCTGAAAGTGGGACCCTGCACCAACAAGGGAGACCTGGAAGAAGCTCCTGGCTTCAGATCAGATCAGCTCCAGCTGTTGCAGCCACTTGGGGAGTGAAACAGCATGGAAGATCTTTCTATCTCCTCCTCTTTGTATCTGCCTTCCCGATAGCAAAATAAAATAAATCTTAAAACAAAAAAAAAAGTTAAGGCAGAGGCTGCACAGGACAGGAGAGAAGGCACAGAAAACCACCAAACCCGAAGACCTGGGCACCCCACAGCCCGCAACACCATGTGACCACACGGCAGCGCGGCCTTCATGGAACCCCAGGCCCAGTCCTGCATGGGACCCACTGCACACAGGTGGCACAACACATTTACCTGCCCCCACACTTTCCCAGACGTGCAAACGTGTCTCAAAGACGCTGCCAGGACAAGCGGTGGTGTGTGTGGCGTGCGCGCTGCCAGGGGGCTGAATTTTGGACAAGAATTCAGGTTAGAGCTCAGAGAATGAGGCTCTTCATTACAGACCCTGCTGGCTCCCTACACTGAACGGTGTGGAAAGAAAAACTAAGATGGAGCTACCAGCATGCTGTTCCCCGGGGCAGGCCTCTCCCGACAGTAACAGTGGGGACACTCTGGCACCAGCCGGGTCTCTACTCATGGAGGACACTGCCGAGTCCGGGGGACGGGCCAATCTGGCGTGTGTGCCCGAAGTGCTCTCTGCCCAGAGCCCCACCCAGGCCCAGCACACAGCAGACGCCAGCCAGGTGTGCGGCTGAGTGGCGCCGAGTGGAGCAGCTGGTAGGGGAGGAGTGTTGCGGGGGACACCGGCAGTGGGACACCCCCAGCCCTGCTCAGCGCTCGCGGGGAGAACCTCAGGGAAGCCTGGCGCATGCGCACACGTGCACGGATCCTCAGAGACAACTCGGCTGGGGCTTCCAGCCCTCCACACAGATGGCAAGACGCAAGTCACCAGAGCAGCGCCCCACTCTCGCGTGTGGGAACACAGCCTTCCCTTCCAGGCCAAAGGTCGCCCGGTGAGTCAGGTGAGGCAAGCACCTGCCTGACCCACAGCCAGCCAGCCACACCCCGCTCACCTGGAGCGCTTCAGGCAGACCAGGCCTGTGGCTCCCTCCATCTCCCTTCTGCTCCGTGCCCAGGTGAGCGCCCAGGTGAGCAGCCGAGAGGCCTGCAGTTCACACCTCAGCCAAGTCAGAACAAAAACAATACTGGCATCCCAAATAAACAACGGCTTAATGCGCCCCTGCCAGCAGGGTGCAGGAAGTCAGCAGCGGATGGTGGATGAGCGTCAGGGGTTGTTAAGCGCTCCTGGAAACCCGGGGGCTCACTTCTGTCCACGTGCTAGAAACTTCTAGGTTCCTTCCAAAAGGCCACAGATCAACGGGCTGAAGGCAGCCCTGTTGGCCTCCCGGCAAGAAAGTTTAAGTCTGCCTAGCCCAGGGATCGGGAATATTCCAAAAGCTCCCGGAAGACGCAGTTATTGTGGAAGAAGAAAAAAGAAGTAGGCGGAGACTTTAAAGAAAAAAAGAAAAGGACTTGCACCAAAACGCAGGCGTCTTTCCGTCCCGTTCGGAAGCGGCAGAGGAGCCGCAGGACAGGCCCCGCGTGGAGGGCTGGGGGCGCGGCAGGGTGGCTGGGGGCGCGGCAGGGTGGCTGGGGGCCTCAGCAAGGAGGCTGGGGGCTGGGGGCCTCGGCAGGGAGGCTGGGGGCGCGGCAGGGAGGCAGGGAGGCTGGGGGCTCGGCAGGGAGGCCGGGGGCGCGGGGGAACCGGCCAGGTGAAGGCTGGCGTCCAGCAGAAGCGCACGACGGCCAGGCCCTTCCAGTTCGGCAACTGGGGGTCGGGTCGCCCCCTCCCCACAGAGAGGCATCTCACACAGCAGCCAGGAAAAACAAACCATGTTTTTTTTTTTTTTTTTCTCCTCCGAGGCAGGAGCGGCGCAGTATACAAAGGCCAAGTTCGAAACTTTTGCTAGCCCACCCGGCGAGCGCCAGCGGCCCCCGCTCCCCCCAAGCGCCATGCCCGTCCACCCGCCCCTCCCTCCCCGCACATCATTCATTACCAACGCAAAGGTCACTCCAAAGGACTTCCGCGGCGCCGGCGCTCGCCGGGACGCCCGGAAAAAGTCGCAGGGAGGCGAGCGAGCGAGCGAGCGTGGCCCGGGACGGCAGCTCGCGTCCCGGCGGGCCAAGGACCCACGCCCCGAGGGGAACGCGCGGCCGCCGCTGCCCTCGCCATCCCACCCCCAACCTCGCCGCCACGCACCCCGAACGGGCCCGCCGCGGCCACGTGCGCGGACACACGAGGCGCGCGCTGCAGGCCGCCCTGTCGGCGGGGACAGGCGGACGGGCCCCGGGGAGCTGCGCGGGGGACGCCCGGTGTCCGATCCTCCCCGGGGCCGAGGCCGAGGCCGCGGCCAAGCCCGGCTCCCCCAGGCCCGCTGCGCCCCACGCGCGCCCGAGCGGCGCCACGGCGACGGCCCCCCGCGTCCACCCCGGCCTCCGCGCCGACCGCGCCGGGCCCCTCCGCCTCACCTCTCCCGGGCGCTGCCGCCGCCGCTGCTGCCCGGGCCGAGACGCCTCCTTCCCCAGGCGGCCATCTTGGAGACACTTGGCTCGCCGGCGCCGGCGCGGCGGCCTGGGCGGACGGCGGCGGGAAATGTAGTCCCCGCGCTGGCGCCCCCGGCAGGGCAGGACGGGAAATGTAGTCCCCGCGCTGGCGCCCCGGCAGGGCAGGACGGGAAATGTAGTCCCCGCGCTGGCGCCCCCAGCAGGGCAGGACGGGAAATGTAGTCCCCGCGCTGGCGCCCCAGCAGGGCAGGACGGGAAATGTAGTCCCCCGCGCTGACGCCCCGGCAGGGCAGGACGGGAAATGTAGTCCGGCGTCCACGGGCGGGACGCGGGGAGAAGCCAGGACGCCCCGGCCGCCAGCCGGCCTCCCCACCCCGTGTCCCGGAGGCTTCCGTCGGCTCGCGCGGGCGCCCACCGCGCCGACGTCTGTGGAACTTGGAGAGCCGGGCGTCTACGACTCCCGGGGCGCCGCGCGGCCTCCGCCTTGGACCCGCAGCCCCGGAGCCCTAGGCGGGGCCTGCGGTGCGCCTCCGGGCCCTTCTGGTCGGCCGCAGCAAGCCTCCCAACCATCTCGGGGTCCCCGATGTGGGGCACGCTCCAAGGGTCCTGCTCAGGTGGGTTCGGTTGTTCAACAGTTCTGAATTGCTGCCAATCTTGCCACTCCAAGCACGATGAAATCTCTCCAGAATCCACTGGCTGACATAGTCCACCTTAGAGTCTCCGTTTGCCCAGATATTCACTGCCAACACTTGGCTGGGGTAGTTGATCAATTTGTTCTGTCCTCCGTCCTCTGTTATGGTACCAGGTGTCCTCTGCAGGCTCCAATGGGCTGCCATATCCTCCATGTGCATCTGGCTATGCTGTCCACTGCTCAGTCTAAGCCATTGAGGAGGCCCAGCTCTGACACGTTAAACTCCATAGTCAGACCATGTCATTCTCGCCATGGTTGGAGTTCTGAGTCCAGCAATTCAATTGGAGCGATTCCCAGAGAAACCTCGTCTAAGGTGATCCAGACCTGATTCTTGTGTGTGTTTGCCAATACAGGATCCAGCACAGTCTGTCACCCCAATCAGACCACACACACACTGGTAGCTGCAATTGCTGGGTCAGTTCTGTCTCCAGCCCTGTCTTCTACACAGACCAATGAGTGTTGGAGTCCAACCTGATCCTGCCCACCACACACTCGGCCTTCACACAAACCAGTGGGAGTTGCAGCCTAGTTGGAGCGACCCGCAATAACCCCCACCAGTCCCACGCCCTGCTGTGGTTTCTGTGTTAGCATGAACAGCAGATTGGTCCAATCTGTCCCACATCTCATTCAGCTCTCGTACATGTCAATGGGCATTGAAGCCTGGTTCAACCCAACCAGCCCCACTATCCAGTTCACACACATGCCAGCAGGTGCCACTCTGTCTAGCCATGCCTGCCCCTAATCCTGGTTTCCATGCTCACCACTGGCAGTTGCAGCCAATCAGAGAGGTGCCCATAACTTCCCTAAGGAGCCCACTCCCAGATCTTGTACTCTCCAGGTGGTTCTGCAGTTTTGACAAAATTTGCCCCCCATGCCAACATCTGCTAGCTGGTGGCTGTGGCAAAGCCCAGTCAACCCACACCCACTCTGGCTTATGCATGCACCAGTAGGAACAGTCAACCCAGCCTGGCTTTTCCTGATCCAGCTCACATGAGGCTAACAGGTGTTGTAGCCCTGCCCAGCCTGGTCTGCCCCACAAACCAGTGGGAGTAATGGCCCAGCAGGGCAGCCCCCCACACCACCCTACTAGGTTGACGCCCTCTCCCCTGGATCTCATGTGCGCTAATTGGGCACTGCAGCCTAGTCTGGCATGGCCTGCCTTACCTCAGCATTTACCAGTGGGTGCTATAGCCTGGCCCAGCCCAACCAGCCCCAGTCCCAGCCCTAACGTGACCTGACTAGTGTTGCCTGACCTGACATGACCCACATACCATTCTGGTTCTCGGATTCACCAGCAGGTGATATGAACTGGCCTAGCCTGGCTTACCCCCGACCTGAGCCAAAAGAATACCAGTGGCCTGCTCACCTGCAGCGACTGTGTCCCAACAGAGGAGTTCCCCAAGCTCCTCCATTAGAACCTCTTCCAATGCTGGATTTTGCACACAACAGTGGGTCCATGGGTCATAGCTCTACTCAGTCCACCTCCTGTCCTAGCAGGAACAGTGGCCTTTCCTGACTGGCCTTCACCCATTCCGGTTTTTACTGTTGGGTGTTACAGCCCAGCCAAGCCTGGTCCACACCCAGACACAGCTCACACATGGCTCAGCAGGGGCAGAGACCTAGCCTAGCCTGTCCTACACCTACCCTGGTTCTCATGAGCACCAGTGGGTGCTGGAGTCTAGCCCAGTCTGGCACACTCCAGATCCAGTCCACACTTGTGCCAAGGGACACTGCAGCCATGTCCAGACCAGACAGCAGCCCCCACTCTGGCCCTCACACTCACCAGTGGGAACCACAACCCAGCCAGGGCATCCCCTTAGCTCCCCAACCAGGCCTGTTTCCAGCCACAGACCTCTTGCATGCCAGAGGTTGCTATGATCCGGCTTGGCAAAGCCCCTCACCCATTTTGGCCTTTGGCTTCAGATGCTGCAGCCTCGCCTGGTCCAACCCCCAGTCTCTAACTCCAGCTTGCAGATACTACAACCTGGCCCTACTCAGTCTGCTCCCATCCATGGCTCATGCAAACCAGTAGGTGTGACAGCCTAGCCCAGAATGACCCGCACTTCATCCTGGTATCTGCACTTGCCAGTGGACTAAGATTTGTTTGGCCCTGCCTGGCCCACACCTTTCCAAAACCAACTCACACACTTGCCAACGGATAGAGCTACTTTGCCCAGCCTGCCCAACACTCAGATCTGGACCATGTGCTCTTCAACGGGAGCTATGACCCACTAGGGGAGTTTCCTAAGTTCCCCCTTCTCGGTTCACTCCCTTACCCAGATCTCACACATGCCAACGGGTGCTAGGCCCTTACCCTGCACGGCCTGCCCCATTTGTATCCTGGTCTTTGTATGAACTGGTAGATGTTGTGGCTCAGACTGCCCCACACCCTGTTTTAGGGTGCTCATGCAGGTACTGCAGCCTGTACCTTCCCTGCCTGTTCCCAGCCTCAGGACCTGTGAGTGTTGGTGGGTTCCATGGTCATACCTAGTGCAGCCCATCACCACTCCAACTCTTAAGCTAACCAGCGGGACTTGTAATTCCATAGGGTTGGGCCCACATACCCCCACAGAATCTACCCCCAGACCTGGTTCTCTTGCATGCTGCTTAGTGTCATGGCCCAACTTATTGTGACCCATCCCCTGATCACTGTCAGGTACTGGGATCCAGCCCTGCCACACAAGGCCACAGTCCTAGCTTTTGTGCGGGCTGGTGCATGGTGGTCAGCGATGTTCAATGCTAACAAGCCCATCTCAGAACTGCCATTTGGGCTGGGGCATCGGTCTGACCCATAAAGATCTCCCGAGCTCTCCCCTCCAAACTACCAGGTCTCAGTCCCCTCACTTACCTGCAAGTACAGTGGCCTTGTCGTTGGGAGTCCCTCAGGAGTCATTCCTCACCTGCAAGATACTCCCAGGATGGTGCTCCATACCTCAGATACTCCCAGGATGGTGCTCCATACCTCAGATACTCACAGGATGGTGCTCCATACCTCAGATACTCACAGGATGGTCTTCCATACCTTATATCCCCTTGCTCCTTTCCTAATCAGTCCACAGTCCTTGTGCCCAGGCGTGCATGGGTTCTCCATCCCAGCCTCTAGAAGCCCAGTGGGTGGTGTGTCGGTCCAGTGCTCTGCCGCCCACCAGGGTCCCAAGCTCCTGGCACATGTGCTGGCCTGGTGCCTTTCTGCTCCACACACCTAAAATCCAGACCCACTGAAGTCTCTAGGCCTGGCCCAGCAGCACACCAGGACAGCATGCTGACCTGGGACTCTCCCCTCCACTCTCCTCACCTCACCCAGTACCAAGCACATAGGCTCCACCTGTCTAGAGGTGAGCTCCCAGGTCCCCACATGCCCACCAGCATGCCCACCATGCTGTTTCCCATGGCCTTCTCCACCCCCCCCACCTGCATCCTCAGACCCCCCTGGGTGCCCGCACCCTTCCCCTGGGCCAGTGCACCCTGTTGTGGAGCATGGCAGCAGGTCATTGCCTCCCATTCTTTTTTTATATATATAGTTTTTATTTTATTTTTATTGGAAAGTCAGATATACAGAGAGGAGGAGAGACAGAGAAAAAGATCTTCCATCCATTGATTCACTCCCCAAGTGGTCGCAACAGCCGGAGCTGAGCTGATCCAAAGCCAGGAGCCTGGAGACTCCTCTGGGTCTCCCACGCGGGTGCAGGGTCCCAAGGCTTTGGGCCGTCCCCCACTGCTTTCCCAGGCCACAAGCAGGAAGCTGGATGGAAAGCGGGGCCTCAGGGATACAAACCGGATCTCATGTGGGATCCTGGCACATGCAAGGCTGAGGATTTTAGCCACTAGGCTACAGTGCTCTGGGCCCAAGAATACATTCATCTTAAGCAAACCTCTGTGTACCAGCACACTGTCATTTGTAGCGCCGGGAGCTGCCTTAATGGATTTGCCACTGTGAGGAGAACAGGTGAGCCGCTAGGGTCACACTGCCAGCATATACAGGGAGTGCATATAGGCAGCCGCATGCAAACCACACACAGGCAACATGGACCAAAGCCCAGGTTCCCAGCCCTGGTGCCACTGCCTTAACTTCCGGACTGCCCACCTGCACTGAGATCCCCACCCTCCCACATTCCCCAACCCAACTTAGAAGTCCTGGGCGGGAGGGATCCTGGCCAACCCGGCTTCTTAATTGCTCCGCTCAGGTGGCAGAGGTTGACAGTTTCCGGCATGCTCAGGCATGAGCAGTGAAGACTCCGGAACCTGCATAGCAGCTGCAGTGCCTGCCACGGTCCCCTCTGTGGGAGGACATTGTGACCCTAGAAGGTCAGGGAACACAGGATTACAACTGATTGGATAGTATCTGTATGATAACAACCCAG